TTACACTAGAGTTTACGGTACGTCAAATACAGGTGCACTGCGCATCCATTGAGATGAACTGAAAAATAGCACAGATCGCTTGACGGAGAGTGAAACTCTGAAGCGCTCAGTCAGAGTGTTCGGTGAGTGAAAATATATCAGTGCTAAACTTATACTTAGCCTCCAACTCACACACTGGTGAGTAAAATCTGAGAATTTATTAGCCATTGGCTAATATTAAACATCGTTTAGTCGCAGAGAGTGAAGATTTAGTCGCATATGCAAGTGATTTACTCACAATGTAGAGGGTTGACTGTAATTGCAAGAAAAAGCAATGTAGATATTAAAGGAAAAATTGATAGAACTTAACAGTTACTACAGCAATGGTTTCCTCCTCCTTAAAGTTTATGGCCCACCACCCGGCCAACTCGGAAACACTGGTATCAAAATTATCTCCAGTTTCTCATAGACTCTTATATTTGATAACTGTGATAACACATGGAGGCAGCATTAAGCCACTGTAATGTTTTGATTTTTTTCACTTTTCAAGTAAATAATTTCACACAAAGAAGTTTGTTCAGTTTTAAATGATAAAATGTTTGTGAATTGTTCAGAGTACTAATCTGTGTTATTGTAAATAAGTTAATTCTAGCATCATTTGTGTGCAGCTGCCACTTAAAGTATTTTTTAAAAGTCTAATTCAATGACATTTAGACATTTCTAAGTGGTTTAAGTGCCCAAATCTTTTTGAGGACACTGTAATTTAAAAAAAAACAGCACAAGGTTACAAAAACACATTTATGATGTTTTCTTTCCCAGAATATTAAAGGGCATGTACAAGGATCCAGAAGAATTGATGTGAACCTTGAGCAGAAGGTTGTGCGTTCCTGTTTAGAGGAACTGAAGACCTTTCCAAAACGGTTTGTGATAAAGAACTAATATGCTAATTGGAAGTCAGTTTTGTAATTCTATAACTAAAAGCTTCTGTAGTCTACATTTTTTGTACAGGGGACAGCTAATCAAGTTTATTTCACTTAACGGCTGTTATATCTTTATGTGCTAATTTGACAGTTATTATAGGAAAAAAAGATTAGCATATAATTTCCGGGTTCCCTCTCGAGCTTTCACGAGACATCACAGAGACATTTCTCCGTTATAGGAACTCCTTCCCTTCCAACCTTTCTGAAGTCCTATTGGCTCACGCCAGTCCAAATGACTGGCCAATTGTCACGACGTATGCTAGTCGCTTGCAAATACTGACGAGCTCAAGAGGCAGTATAAAATGAATGAATGAATGATGCATTTATATAGCGCTTTATTGTGTATTGTTGTACACCCAAAGCGCTTTACAATCATATGGGGGGTCTCTCCTCAACCACCACGAGTGTGCAGCATCCACTTGGATGATGCGACGGCAGCCACAGGACGGACGCGCCAGTGCACTCACCACACACCAGCTACAGGTGGAGAGGAGAGAGAGTCATAGAGCCAATCAAGTGGTTGGGGATTATTAGGAGGCCATGATTGACAAAGGCCAGGGGGGCAATTTGGCGAGGACACCGGGGTTACACTCCAACTCTTTACGAGAAGTGCCATGGGATTTTTAATGACCACAGAGAGTCAGGACCTCGGTTTAACGTCTCATCCGAAAGACGGTGCTTTTTGACAGTATAGTGTCCCCGTCACTATACTGGGGCGTTAGGACCCACGCAGACCACAGGGTGAGCACCCCCTCCTGGCCTCACTAACACCTCTTCCAACAGCAACCTAGTTTTACCAGGAGGTCTCCCATCCAGGTACTGACCAAGCTCAACCCTGCTTAGCTTCAGTGGGCAACCAGTCTTGGGCTGCAGGGCGATATGGCTGTGGGTGCACGTGACAATTACGTCAGAATCTTCTACTTCACCTGCTGAATTCATTATGGCTACATTCTGCAAGAACTGCGCGGGACCAATAGAGCCGCCGGATCAACACGACCACTGCGTCGCCTGCCTGGGCCTGGCCCACGCCGAGGTGGCGCTGGACGAGTCCGACTGCGGGCATTATGCGGACCTGCCGGCTCACGTGCTCCGGACCAGCCGCGATGTGGCTCGCGGCCTATTCGGGGTGAGGCCAACTGCCGCCAGCATGCCGCTGGTGGGCCCTCTTGCTCCAACCTCAACGATCACCCTGTTCCCCGGTTTCCTTCCCCGAGGACTGCTTCCGCCCTCCTTCCAACATCGCGGAGTTTGTGTCCTTTGGCCAGGAGGAGGGGGATGACTCGATGTCCATCTCGGCCTCGGAGAGGGAGGATTGGGTGGGATCGGAGCCCGATCAACCGGACAGCATGGGATCCCCAGACCTCCAGGAGGAGCTCATAAGGTTTCTGTCGAAGGCTGCCCAGGAGTTGGAGCTTACCTGGAGTCCTCCAGAGAAGCCTGCCAGGAGTAAGCTCGACTCCTGGTATTTCAGGTTCACCCGGAAAACTGACTCGAGGGCGTTGGTCCCCTTCTTCACCGACGTACACAAGCAGCTGGTGAAAACGTGGTCTGCGCCCCAATCGGCGTGTGTCCACTCTGCCACACAGGCCATCTTTTCCGACGTGGATGGAGCGGAGGCCCACGGGTATGTGCACTCTCCCCCAGTCGAGGTGTCCTGCAGCAACCAAGACCCTAGGCTCAGACATCAGCCTCCCCTCGAAGCCGTGCAGGACCACCGCCCACCTCGCTAATAAAGCGTGTGCGTCTGATGGCGGGGTGGCTTCCGCGCTGCACGCCATGGCAGTGCTGCAGGTTTTCCAGGCGAAGCTCCTGCAGGCGGCGGAGGGCAGAGCCCTCACTGCGGAGGCTATTAAGGATCAGCGCGCGGCGACGGACTTCATGCTGCTGGCGACAAAGCGAGGCCGTGGGAAAGGCCATGCCGTGGGAAAGGCCATGGGTTTTATGGTCGTCCTTCAGAGGCGCCTATGGTTAAACCTGGCTGACCTCAAGGATGCTGATCGTAAAGTGCTGCTGAACGCTCCTGTGACTCCCTCCGGCCTCTTTGGTGATGCCGTGGAGTCCATTATTGAACGCTTCGCGGAGGCTCAAAAGCGTGCCAAAGCCATGAGTCACGTGATGCTGAGGCTTGCTTTGCAGCAGCAGACGGCGAGATCCAGGTCCTCGTCGGCACCTGGCTCTTCCCAACGGAGGGATAACCCCAGGTCAGCGACCGTGGCGGTGACTGCTACTGCTCCTCGCCAGGAGCCGGATATCCGGAGGAAGCACCACGGCCAGCGGAGGAGCCGGCGACGTGACTCTTGCCTGCCCCCGGCTGCTAAGCCGTTGTTCTGAAGAGAGGAGGAGAGTGCGCGAGGGGCCCGGCTCCCAAGAGCCACAAGTTCATGTGTTCAAATGTTTGTGTGTTGGATGTTCATTCAATAAAAATGCATTCACTCTCACAAAAAGAGCTCTTTCCTCCTCACTCATTCAATGCCGCGCCGCTCGCCCCGCCTCAGAGCAGTGCGCAGCGGCCACCCACACAGGTTATAGTCATACAGCACTCGCCGGCACATCCAACGACCAAGCTGCTAAAGCCACTATGTCAGTTCCTGAGCGCGTGGGAAGTCATTCTGGGAATCTCGCGCTGGCTACTCGGTGTGATAGAGCGTGGGTATACCCTTCAATTCAGATGCAGACCACCCCGTTTAAATGGCGTGGTGCAGTCTCTAACATTGCCTCAAAATGCCCCGGTTCTGAGACAAGAGGTATGCAGTCTGCTCGAAAAAGGAGCGATAGAACGAGTCCCTCCCAGCGAGCTGGAGAGCGGGTTTTACAGCCGCTATTTCGTGGTACCCAAAAGAGACGGGAGACTCCGCCCGATTCTAGATCTCAGGCCCATCAACAGAGCGCTTTGCAAGCGTCCGTTCAGGATGATAACGCTGAAACAGATCCTGCCGCAAATTCACCCCGGGGACTGGTTTGCGTCCGTGGACTTAAAGGACACGTACTTTCACATTCAGATAGCACCGCATCACAGACACTTTCTGAGGTTTGCTTTCGAGGTCACAGCGTACCAATACTCTCTTCTCCCGTTCAGGCTGGCTTTGGCCCCACGCACTTTCTCGAAGTGCATGGATGCAGCACTTTCCCCCCTCAGAGCGAGCGGGATGCGCGTTCTCAACTATCTGGACGATTGGCTGATTTTAGCTCAGTCCCGGGACACGCTAGTCAGCCATATAGACACGCTGCTTCGTCACTTGGAGTCCCTAGGGCTATGCGTCAACATGAAGAAGAGCATTCTCGCGCCGAGTC